TTGTATCATGAATTATTTTTGCACCTAAATGTCTACTACATCAATGGATTTCTCCAGATATCATCACTCAATGACATGTATAAGCGGTTACAAGATTACATAACAAGCTTGCAGCAGTACAATGGAAAACTTCATTCAGAGCTTTCTTCAGTTGAAACTGAACTTAAGCGTGTAGAGAAAGATAAAGCTACTCTAGTGGAGAACCTCACTATGTTGAAGGGCCAGCTTACTTTGTCTATGGTGAGTTTGCTGCTCTGGAGTGTGAACTGTTTCAATTCAAATTCAAGTAGCCATGGGTAAGAGAGCAATAAATACTTAGAATCTTAGTTGCTACCTACAAGTCCACAACTTTCTTAATAATCACTGGATTTATGACTAATTTATTCTTCATTTTTGCTAATGGGGGTGTTCAGTTGAAAATGACACTTCTAGAATGCATTGGATGCCATAGAATTTTGAAAATAACTCCTTTGTGTAAAAGTTGAATTAATTTTGTAAAAATCTCAAATTATCTTGTTGCCTGTTTTACGAACCTTTGGAATCAATTCTTCCCACTGTGGCACATATTCCAATGTGAAAATCTATGGTGGTAATTAATTTGGACACACTTCCCAATTACCTTAAACAGTTCAAAATGAATTTTATCAATAACAATTTCATCTAAAGTTTAACCAAACTGGCCCTATACCCTATATCCCTCCTTGAACCAGGCATAAATGTATTCTCAATCATTCAAAAAGTCTTTGCATACATAACCAGATGCTGCGTGGTTTTTCATTTGTATGTTGAACTTAGACTTTGACACAAATTAGGAACCATATGATCTTATGTTTATCTGATTGCTCTGAAGAATCTCATAATAGTCCTTAGTGGTTAAAACTAGAGATTAGTAAGGTTGAAGTTATTTCTAATTGAATTTATATAATTAAAATAATTGTAGAGTTTTAAGAACTGATGTGATATGCATTTTATCTTTCTTCTGCTTATTCTTTTTTTTTTAATATAATCTAACTGTAAATAAATGCTTGATATGTTATTACTATCCTTCTTGAAATTTCAGAAACCTGTTTTACTTAACATGCAACCAGTATCTTACATATTTTCACTGGTTGTTCTACTAGTCTTCTCAAGACGAGGCCACAAAACAGAAGGATGCCTTGGCTAGTGAAGTTGGATCTCTTCGTGTTGAGTTGCAACAAGTGAGGGATGATCGGGACCGCCAACTATTTCAAGTGCAAACTTTGACTTCTGAATTAGAGAAATCTAAAGATTCTACAGAGAAGTCCTCCTCTGAACTGAACAACTTGACCATAAGAACAAATGAACTGGAGGTTCGTTTAATATTGTTCTTTTTTGTAAATGCCACACCCTCTTGTTATTGTTGTAGAAATGTGATGATGCCTTTTCTGCGCAGGCGAAATGTGCTTTGCAAGATGAGCGGATAAAGATACTGCAAGAGAAGCTATCCACTGCAGAGGAGAAACTGCAGGTAATGAATGAGACATAAAGTTAAAATAAGGAAGTCCCACTGGACTTGTGATATGATATGTCTGATTTTTGTTCCTTGTTAGGTTTCTGACATATCTGCAAGTGAGACAAGAACAGAATTTGAAGGGCAACAAAAACTTGTACTTGAGTTGCAAAGACGTTTAGAAGATGCAGAATATAAAGTTATAGAAGGGGAGAAGCTGAGGAAAGAATTACACAATACGATTTTGGTAATTCCCTGAGACAAATTTTGTTTATGATGAAAAAATAAAACAATATCCACACCATACTAATCTCTGTTTTAATAGGAACTTAAAGGGAATATCCGGGTGTTCTGTAGAGTGCGGCCTTTGTTGCCTGATGAGGCTTTTAGCCCAGAAGGAAAGGTTATATCTTATCCCACATCAATGGAAGCTTCTGGACGGGGCATTGAATTGACACAAAGTGGTACATCTCATGATATTGAACTTGAAGTTGCCCTTTTTATCAGTTGATGTATGTTTGTTTTATTGCATTATTTAACTGTGTTGTAACTTATATTGCTATTTCTGTTTTAGGCCAAAAACATTCTTTCACATTTGATAAAGTTTTTGCACCTGATGCATTACAAGAAGAAGTTTTTATTGAAATTTCACAGCTCGTGCAAAGTGCTCTTGATGGTTATAAGGTAATCTCTTGTCTTTTATTCCTTCTATATTATTTCAAATCATATTATATACATTGCATAGCTGCTAACAGTTGATTATTACATGTCAGGTATAGAACAAAAAAAGAAATCTAAGAGGCTTTCGAGTTTTGATTTATAATATGTATGTTTTATAGTGGACATTTTCTTTTCCAGGTTTGTATTTTTGCCTATGGTCAGACAGGGTCAGGGAAAACTTATACAATGATGGGTAGACCTGGACATCCAGAAGAAAAGGGCTTGATCCCTCGTTCGCTAGAACAAATTTTTCAAGCAAAACAGTCTCAGCTACCCCTAGGCTGGAAATATGAAATGCAGGTGATATAGAGTATAGTCTTCTTGTCACAGATCATAAACTGAAATGTTTTGATCTGAGAAGGTTTCTGCTTCTTAAACATTAACAGGTGTCAATGTTGGAAATATACAATGAAACCATTCGTGATTTGTTATCTACAAATAAGTCATCATCAGATGGAACACCAACACGTGTTGAAAATGGTACTCCTGGAAAGCAATACTCCATTAAACATGATGCCAATGGAAATACACACGTTTCTGATCTCACAGTAGTGGATGTTCAGAGTGTAAAAGAGGTTGCATTTCTTTTAAATCAAGCTGCTAATAGCAGGTAATTACTGCATAAGGTTCCTTTATAGGTTTCTAGTGCTCTTAATCAATGTAGGTTTATGTGTCTACTACATCAAATAAACACAGTGCAGGAACTAGTCGTTTTATGACCACGTTATATTTTTGTTACTTGTATAGGATCAAGAGAAATGACATGCGAACTTAGAAATAATCAAATGATATAGTTCTAGTGCAACAAAATATTTTGATACATTTACTTCTATTCTAGAAGTTAAAATCGTTTGCCTTCGGATGATGAATTTGTTTTTCTTTTAGATCTGTGGGAAAAACTCAGATGAATGAACAATCTTCTAGAAGTCATTTTGTATTCACTCTTCGAATATATGGTGTGAATGAGGTATGGTTGTTTCTCCTCTGATAATTATTGGACCATGTTTCACACACTCCGCAACATTTTAACATGCATTCAAATTGCAACCTATGTTCTTCTGTTAGAGCACTGACCAACAAGTACAAGGCATTCTAAATCTCATTGATCTTGCTGGAAGCGAGCGTCTCTCAAGGAGTGGGTCAACCGGGGACCGACTGAAAGAAACTCAAGTATGTAAATTCATCATGTTTTCTAATTCAAATAGCTATACTTATGTGCTTTCTATTAATCTAAACTGTCTTTCTCTTGTAATTAGGCAATAAATAAAAGTCTGTCATCATTAAGTGATGTCATATTTGCCTTGGCCAAGAAGGAGGATCATATCCCATTCAGGAACTCAAAGCTTACATACTTACTTCAGGTGATTATCTTTTGTTCATATTTTAAAATAATCTTTAGAACTTTATTATTTGCAGCATATTAAATTCAACATAGTCTGAGCTTTCTCACCTTGATGAAGGACAAGCATCTCTAACTACTGGTAAAACAAAACTAATGTTTTAGCACATACACACTAAAGCCATTTATTTGAATGCACGTGAGGGACTTCCATGGTATACATTGTGTATCCTTGGTAATTTATAAGAGACTATATCATAACTAAATTATATTACAACTACAGAAACCAAAGAAAATCATGTCATGTAGCTGGGATATTAGATAGGAAATAGTTGATTCTTAGGCAAAAGTTGCAATGCAGCAGATTTGACAATTTTACTGCGTTGGTTGCTTTTTTGTTATCTTGCAATCATTTGAGGTGATCTAACTTGTTGTGTTGGAGACAATGTTGAACAGCCTTGTCTAGGTGGAGACTCAAAAACATTAATGTTTGTCAACATTTCTCCTGACCAAGCATCAACAGGAGAGTCACTATGCTCACTTCGGTTTGCATCAAGAGTTAATGCATGTGAAATTGGAACACCACGCCGTCACACCAATGGACGTTCTATAGAATCTCGCTTGACCTATTTCTAATCTTTCCATACATCAAGGATGAATGAATATATTGTTTAACCTATTTGTGTAATTGCTACTACAACAAAATACCTCCAATTCTAACATCACGCCTATAGATTGTAATGTATAGTAAAGATGCTACTGAGTATTCATTTAGTTAAAAAAATGTTTCCATTATTTGAGTTCTTTTTTCAATTCAGCATGATCTTATATTCATAATTTCATCTTACACTACTTTCTCACAATGAGACATATTTGTCAGTCTTGGACATTTTTTAGAATATTTAATTAAGCCAAACGTACAAGGATCATAGTGATTGATAATCATTATTTTCTCGAGAATGTGTTGTATATATGACGTACTAAATTCACTCTTGAAATTGTCAACATTCTCTACTGTTCAGATATCCACGTGCTTCTGCACTGTAGTTTTAAAAAAATTGTTTGATTGGTTTTCACTCAAGCATCAACTTAGCCATTTGGCTATAAGGTAGCACTAGCATGTTGCTAATATGCCATACATATACATCTGCATGAATAATGGTTTCTTTTGTATAAATAATATGATTATAGAAAATGTACGGTGATATTTTCCCAGTCATATTTGTGGGATTTCTAAATGGATTCAAACTCCTAAGCATGTGCATGTATAGGAATATGAAACAGATTTTTCTAGGGTGGTGATACATATCCATCAACAATTGAAATTACTATAATTTAATAGTACTTGACACGATCATACATTTACGATCCTTCTGAAAGTCACCTATTAACATAACATCTTCCTATCTTCATGATGAGCAGCATCCTTCTCTTGGAATCAGCATTGTACACAACTTGATTAAAATCATGTCAAACTGTTTCGTACAATATGTCCATCCGGTCCATGACCTCTTTAAGCAAAGCTTCAGTTTCCTGATAGCATGATTTTGTTTCAGGTAGACTTTTCTTCCTTGCAGCTTCTTCAAGCTGCCGTTGCATCAAAAATTCAATTTGTCAATTCGTCCAGCCATCTGTAATAAAATAATAACTAACAAAACACTTAGTTTTGAAGGGGGAGAAAAAGAGAGTATTACCCTTTCAAAATTATCAAACAATTTGTTTGCCATATCAGTTAGTTGCTGCTTTTCATCATCCACTGGAGTGGCAGAGATAAGCTTGTCAAAATCATAATATATGATGGTAGACTTGAGTCTTAGGTACCTCCTCACATAATTGAGTGTGTCTTCTGCTACCATATCTGCCATCGATAGAAGATCAAAGGAATATTTCTTTATCCTATGCACACTTCCTTTCAGTCCAATATTTGGCATGAACAACCCCCTTTTAAGAAAAGAACGTGTCCCCGTTTTCTCATTTGCAATATCTAACCAAAAATAAACGTTCACATCAGAAGATATGAAATACCCTGTTTGGCTCATCAAAAAGTGCTGTACAACAATTTTTACAGTATTAACCAATAAAAAACTGATAGAATTAACATGTATGACAGTCTATGGACATATTTTATTTACTCAATTATATTCAGGTTAAACCATGAAATACAGTGATAACAGTTAATTGAAAACTCAACCATTGAAAGAAGTGTGTGTAGAATAAATAATGAAATTATTGAAATTTGAGTTGTTCCTTTAACCAATACTTACTATTGTATCATATTTCATCTTTTTGAATACAATATTGCACACTTTATATGGTCAAATCCAAAAATTACTATTCATAACCCCAATTTGCAATGAAAACCAAATTTTAACTCATTTTATTTGCCATGTATGTCAACTGTGTGTTTATACCATGTAAGTAACTTTGTGTGTAAACTAGTAACAAGAAAGCTTACTGTTAGAGACAGTTAGTCGAGGAAGAGGGTGATCTTCAACCCAGAAACCATTATCTTTGGCTAATGAATTATTGTCATTGAATGGCCATGTAAACACTATAGTGGTTAGCCCTATTGCTGCTGCTCTTCTTGTGGCCTGAACTGGACATTCTGATGGTTCCTCTTGTGTTTTGCTTCCAAGAAATCCAACTAGTTGTCCTCTTTTTATGCTCCTGTGTGCATTTGGAAGGCATGTGACGGGTATTAAGGTCTTGGAGACTCCATGCAAGTTTGTGAGAGGAGCCATGATGGTCAAGGAACTCAAATGAGTGAAGTGTGAGACAGAAAGATGGTTCATCAAAACTTGGAAATAAAATTTTTTGTTATATGACTCATATCCATTCCCAAGTGATATATCCAATGTGTGCCAATAAAATGGTTATCCTCATGAAGGATTGTATGGTAATTTCATTTATTTATGTATGTAGCATGGGCTTGCTAGGCCTGGTTGCTATGATCTGGCCCGAGTTTGTCCTTTTTGGGCCATTCCTCTTGTACAGTCAAATTTATGAATTTAATCAGCTAATTTTAAAAAATATATATAATTTTAATATTTTCTATATTTAAATTTAATATTTAACAATGAATTTTTATTATTATAAAATTAATTATAGAACTAAATTCACATAATATATTATTTTTTTTATTTTATCTATATTTAATATTGGTGACCCATTTTTCATTTTTTATAAAAATTCAAAGATTTTCATAAAATAATTAAATTCAAATATTTCAAATTTTGAGAATTAATTAAAAAAACTTCAAAATAAAATTATCAAACACAAATTTTACCAAATGTACTAAAAACGTACTCAACCTAAAAAACTGAATTATTAACAATATTAATTAGGTATTTAAAATTCAACCGATATAAAAAAGTAATTAAAAATTATTTGAAAAAATAAAAAATCAATGAATACTGTCTTTTTATTATTTCTTTCTAAACCAAACAGTTCAATTTAAATTTAAGATTAAAAATTAAACAAAACAATTACTTACTATATTTAAATATAATATTATATATTAAGAATTCGTTATTAATTAATAAATATGTATAAAATTATCTAATTTATTTATAAATATAAAATAATTAAATTATAAATAAAATAAAAATTATATAATGTATCTCTTATTTTATAATTTTTTACTATAAAATATTTAAATTTTATAAAAATTAAAATGACAAAATCTATTTAAATCAAACGGTAAACATTAGTTTTTGGTTCGAATATTATATTAAATTAAAATTGAACTACACCAAATTATATTTGATTGGAATACTTTTAATTATATTATTTATATCAATGTTAGACCTTCTTTGATGAGCTTTGAGCTATTTATATAAAAGTTTTAGAAAGATTTATAAAAGGGAAAAAAAAACTAAAATTAGTTTCTATATAGAAATTAAAAATAATATTCTTTAAACATTTTAAAAGTTAATAGTTTTTCTTCAAATGAATAATTGATAATTGCAATTTTGAAAAAACAAAAATTAGATATTAATCTTTCTTATAAGGTAACCGAAATTTCTTAATTATATTTTATATTATTCTATGTATGATAATCAAGCAAACAAAATTTGAGAGACCTCTAACATAAATTAATTTAAGTAAAATTAAATTTAAAAATTATAAGTAAAATCTTATAATCGAATTTTATAAATAAAAAATATGGTGAAATGTTTCACTAAAAATAATTAATACAATATTTCACCTAACACATAGGCAAATTAATAATATTCCGTAATAGGCAGGGATTAATAATATATGGTAATACAAAACTCGTATTTTCTAGGGTAATACTTAATTTTAAGGACTTTTTTATAGGAAAATAACTGAAATTTGCATAAGAAATTGAATTAAAAATCAATTTATCATTTTGAAATAATCAAATGGTATTAAATTAAAAAAATATAAAAAATCGGATTGATTTTTTTTATCAAATATATTTTAATAAAAAAATTAAATTTTTAATTTTTGTAAATATATTTTTCATATAAAATATAATTTTTTTAATTTATATCAAATTACATTAACTTTAAATAATAAATTTGTATTATATTTTTATGTTATTTTAATTATTTTTTTAATATATTTTATATTTATAAATTTTTATTATAATTTTTAGTAACATTAATAATAGTTTTTTTTAAATGATTATTATTAATTTATATATTATATATTATAAAAAATGTTATTTATTAAATCTGGTTGAATCTTAATTCAACTTTTAAATTCTTGATTTTTATTAATTCACTCTTCCATCCAATTTTAAAAACACGGTTAAAACTAAGTTCAAAATCACAACAATATTGTTCTTTATTAAAAGTATTTGGATTTTGGAATAACAAATTTTTTTCTTAAGAAAAATGTTCTAAAAATATGATGCCAATAAAATACTAGAATTATATTAGACCGAATAATTTACATTTCAAGGAAAAGTAAAGCATAGTAAATTAAATTGTCTTTATTCTCAAAATATTTTAATCTTTTATTTGAAATTATATTTAACTGAATTAATTTATTCAATATAAAAATTTTTGCTTAATCCCTATTTTTTTAATTCATACAACTTAATTATAGAAGCTTAATTGTCAGAAATTAAATTATCACTCACAATATCAACACTATGTTAAAATGAATAAAAGTGAGTTAAATAAATATGTTAACTTTTCAGTGTTTAAATTTTGGAGATGAAAAACATCGTTAAAATTTTAATAATTTAAATAACTGATAAATATTTTGTAGTTGTCGTCATAATATCTGTTTACAATTTTAATAATTAAAACTAAGGTTTAATTATAATTTTAAGCTTTTTAATCTTGTATTTGTCATCATAATATCTGTTTACAATTTTAGAAAATTTGCCATGTTGTTCTAATATTTAATTTTGTATATTATTTTTTTCAATTAAAGTCTACATTTTCATTACAATATTTATGGTGTGTTAATCGGGTTTAACTAATGAATAATACAACCATTGGCTCTAATTAAATAGATTAAGTTACCTAATCACTTCTAATGCTTGATAAGGTTGATACCCAATCATTTTCATACACATAGACCCACAAAAATTTCAGACTTGACTTTGAGAACACCCTTGCCCTACATAACACAAACCAACTTTCCTTGACATATCAGTTTTATTTATTTATTTAATTTCATTTCAAAAACTATCACATACAAATTACAATAAATTTGTTTAATTTTCATAATAATCATGTTAAATGTAATATCAGGAATGACTTTATATGTTGACAATGTTAAAAAATGTACACTCACAGTGCATATTAAGTTTTTCCTTTTTTTTAAGCTATTAAATTTTTTTAGTGACTATTGATAAGTGAACCACAAAATATTAGTAGCGTTTTGAGAAAAAGTTAGTGGCATTTGTAGAATAATATCAACAACAAATATTAAATTTTTTAAAAAATTAATAAATAAATAAAATCAATAATCATAACAAAAAATCATGTTTTGTAAGAATTTTTTTATTATTATTTTTATTCAGGGTCTCAAGACAGGACACCTGACCCTGACAGCTTTCACTAAAGGACACCTGTTACTTTGTTTTGTTCAACGTGTGTTCTAACTTATTCCAGCGATGTGGGTCATTGATATTTATTGCTTACAATTATACAACTTCATAAGGTATAATGTATTTGGTAACACATGATTTATATTGGTTTTTATTTTACTATGACCTAGCATGCTTCCAAACCATTCATTACTCATACTCTTTAAGCTCTATTTTTCTGTGCTTTGATGCTGAGCCATAACAGCATTTGATTTGATTGTTTTTATGTGGAGGCATGGAGAGAAACTGATTTAGAAATTTTCTCAATATCAGTCACTGTTACTATTTTTTCTTAGAAAATCAAAGTGTGCCTTATTTTATATTTTTATCCAATGCATGAATCACATGCACATGATCATGACCACAGAAATGGCTAATCATTGGCCCCAGCTAGATTATTTTTGTTGTATCCGTATACATCAATCTAACAAATGTCTTCTTCAAGAGAACAACAAAATTTAATAAGATAATGATAAATCAACGTTTTCTTGTGCCATATTGTTGTTCTAAGAGTTATATTTCCTCAATGAGCATTTGTATTTGTATGCCCTTTTGAGGAAGCAAGAGAAGCAGAGAGAAATGGAGGACAAAGAAAAACTCAAGAAGTCCAAGGTTATCAAAATACACTCTCAAAAATCATGGGAACACTACATCTCTCATGCCACCAATCAAAAGTACCCTGTGAGTTTCTTTGTTTATGTGATTTCATTTAGCATAAATCAGTTTGGTTTCACTTACTATTATGATAAGTTAGCTAAGGAACCAGATTCAATCATTCAAAGATCATTGAGGTTGGACAATTGGACATGTGGTATAGTTTTGTTTTAAACTCTGTACGAAATTCTGCAGGTTGTGGTTCATTTCTCTGCTTTCTGGTGTGTGCCTTCTACAGTAATGAACCCTTTCTTTGAAGAACTGGCCTCCACTTATCAAGATGTTCTGTTTCTGACATTGGAAGTGGATGAGGTTAAGGTAATTTGATTCCCACACAACACATAATTTGTTTGTTGGACTTATACATTCTTGGTTTGGTCTTAATTTAAACTATGTACCACATATCCCAATTTCCAATTCAGCAACTTCTATGTTGTGCCTGTAACTTGCAAAATATGCTTTGTTATCGAGAGGGAATCAAGTAAAGTGTGTCCACAAAAATTCTTTCAAATTGTTTATTTCGGATCCAAACCCACTTTGAGTTCACATGGTCTCGTTTTATATAAATAATTAGCTAAATCTTATCTCTAATCTAACCTTCAATTAAAATATTCACATGTGTTTAACTTACACTTGTATATTAAATATAACTTTTTAGATAAAAAAATTTCCTTCTAATAATAAAAATATCTTATATCATATTTAATAATATCGGTAATTATAATAATATCGGATTAATTCTTATATTTAATATATTATTTATTTAAAATTTCTTGTTTATTATAATTTTATTTTTTTAAAATATCTCAATAATAATTGAAAAATTATTCTTATTTTTTAAATAATGTAAAATTTATGAATATACTAAAATATAAAGTTTTAATTAAGAACTAAAAAATATGAATAAAAGTCAGACTCTGATTTTAATCCCAGTTAATATTATATTTAAATATAAGAGTATTTTAACCTTATATTTATTATAATAATATTATTAGGTTAATTATTATTAAAATTTTAATTTATCGTAATTTCTTAAAAGATATTTGTTGAGTTAAGAAGAGAATTCAACCGAACACCTTTTTCTTTTTCTAATGCATTGTGAACAAATTTTCAATGACAGTATCTACTCTCTCATCTCATTCTACTTTTTCTTTCAAATTGAAGGAAAGGATTCTAAGCACAAGTTCATGCAGCAAGTGGAAAGATTGTTCATATTTGTCTTAATCCCTTTTGTACTCTGCTTTATGTGCCCTCAATTCAGGAAATTGCCGCCAAGATGGAAATCAAAGCCATGCCCACTTTTCTGTTGCTGAGTGGAGGGACTCCAGTAGACAAAATTGTGGGGGCAAATCCTGAAGAAATAAGGAAAAGGATTGATCATTTTGTTCACTCAAGTCGCTCCTACAAATCTGAGTAAACCATGCACATGGTGAACAATGAGTTGGGCCAAGAACTGTTCTGTTGTTCATTGTACATGGAAGCATTTCATACATGTTTTTATGTTTGAAGCAGTAATACAAGTTGTTCTGTGCTTGCTTGTAAATGTTTGGTGAGCCATGGAAAGTCACTGGAGTTGAATGGTATTTTAGTGTGTATTGAAATTTCATCATGATGACATCGTTCTCTTGTAATATTCTTTCTTGTATAACATTCCAAGTGAAGGAAAAAAAAAAAATTGTAATCAGTAATGATATTTCCATACAGTAATGTTTATTCCCTTTCAACCATCATGTGTAGTATACTATCATTATATTCTATAACAATAAGTTGCTGTTTCCCAAATTTTGAAATTCTACAACTTATTAAACAATTTTTAAGTTTTATTCTCAATCATTAAACAAATCTAATGGCTTACCATGTTGTTAGTGAGAATGTATAGACAATCTTGTGAGGGAAAAACAATAAATCAATGAAGATTTACAGAAGTGGCTTAAGAATTTAAAGTTAATTCTTATATATATTTTTTGTGGATGTTCTTTCTATTCTATGTGACGTTACTAAAGTGGAAGAACCCACAAAAGTACGTAGATATTCAGATTGTACATTGTTTGGTTGATAAGAAAGGGATTAATAAATAAATTAAAAAAAAGTGTAGATATTGCAAGATTTTTCTTTTCAAAATTGCATAGAAGTGTATGAAAAATAGAAATTATGAAAAGAGAAAAAAGATTATGGTTATACACTAAATTGATTATTTAATTGAAATAATTTTTTGATAATTATGTTCAGTTTATATAATTGACATGTTTTGTAATTATAAACAATAGAATTACTCTAGTTTCTAACAAACACATTATTAAAGAACAAAAGATAAAGAGGATAAAATCCCACATTTGACAGCGTGACAACATTGCAGAGACAGATGTATGTATGTAATATGTACTACTTACTGCTCTGTGCAATGATGACTATATTTTGTCGGCCCATTTTTCCCATGTGCAACTTATGCTTCAAAAATAATTCCAAAATTATTTATTTTTACTATATTTGTCTTTTATGATAAGGATTTAGAAGCATAACTTAGAACAAGCTATGATATTAAAATAGAAATATGAAAATATTTATAATAAAAATATTATTTTAGTCTTTGAAGTTAGCTTTCAACATGATTTTTTTAATTAATAATAAAGGATGTTACAATCATTTTCTAATTATTTTAATGATTAATTTTTTTATTATATTTATAAGTATACAATATTTAGAATTATCATTAATGATATTATCTAGTAAATATGAAGTCGAAACATTATTTTTACACGAAATATTAAGATCTATTATAAGATAGACTCTATTCCGTAATCTTTAATTAAAATGTGGCATATTATAATTTTAAAATTTAATAATATTTCGAACCAGTAATTCTAAAAAACTATGTAAATACTCTTATTATTTTTTATAGAAAACAATTAATATTAATATCATATGAATCATTAACTTAAAAATTATTTCTGATTATAAAATTGTAGCAAAAGCACTTAAAATAGAAGTTTTATTTTCATTTTATTATGTTTAAAGTTAAGATAAGATTGTTATATAAAATACAAATATTTTAAGAAAGGGTTCTAAAAAAGTCAAAATTCTAATTCTAATTATTATTTATTTATTTTATAAAAGAAAGTTGGCGAAGGTTGAAAAGGTAGGGTGCATTATTGTATACGCGTTTTGGGATATCGTGCTTCTTACTTGCGCAAAATGTAACGCAAACATCATTTTATTTCATTTTTATGCCCAAACAGAGAATGGAGACTATGCAAATGGCAATCCACTTTTATAGGGATCTATTTTAAAAAATAAAATAAAGTAAAAAGTAAATTTTATATAAAAATAATAAAAAGTTACGTATTTAATGATAATAAAAATGTTATTTATTATTACATGAAAAGAAAAAAAATATAAAAGAAAATAATATTTTACAAAATATACAGTAACTTAACTTTTATTTATTATTTTTATTATGTTTTTTTCTCTTACTTCCTCACGCTTGTCTATTTGTCATTGAATATATCTTTAACTTTTAATATCAAGTTTTATTATGTGTATTTAGAAATGGGTTATATAACATGATACAGTTGTGTTTTAAATAGTTATCTTATATTTTTCTTTTGTTATATGTGCTCCTACGATTATGTACAGTTTATTTTAATCATATTAGCGGATATAATTAATAATAGATTATTGAAATATTAAATTAAAATATTAGCTTTTTCAAATAAAAACATAATTTTAGGTGACACGATGAATTATTTAAAAAAATTTATTAATTATTTTATCAAATAAACCTTAAAAATTATAAACAAAAAATTATTTCTTTAAATAAAAAAAATATTTATTATAATAAAACTAATTATAATTACTTAAATATGATATGTCATAATAAATATATACTTATTATACTTAAATATGATATTATTTATGTCATAATAAATATATATTTTAAATTTTTTTTATGTAAGAAACATAGGATATAAAATTTATTTTATTAAAAATGCCCTAAATTGTGTACCTATCTTATATAATAATAAAATAAAAATTAAGGCCTATCTTATATAATAATAAAATAAAAATTAAGGAAGGTGATTTGCATTTATATGTTAGTATTATTATAATATAAGATATATACAAAATTTAATAATAAAAAATAAATTCCTCTAATATAATACATGCTTTCTTTCCTTATTTATTTTATTATTTTTTCTCTTTTTATTAATTTCTTGTTATTTTTGTCTTCTATTTTAATATTTGTTTTTTTTTCTTTGCCTCTCCTGTTTTTGTGTCACTTATCTTATTTTTCTAATTAAAAATATTAAATTAAGAAATATAATATATATTTTCTAAATAATTATAATATTGATAATTTGTAATACCTCAAATATATAATATAATATTTTTAAAATATAATATTTAAATTAGAATATTTTTTAAATAATTTAAATATTTTTATTTTTTAAAATATGAAAAAACTCATTCTATTAAATTTAATTTAATATTTTTAATTAGAAGAATAAGATAAGTCACATAAAAATAAAAAAAATAAAGAAAAAATAAAAAATAAACAGAGGAGAATAAAGAAAAAAATACAAAAAATAAATAATTTTTTTTTTATTATTATCTCCGTCATCCCTCGAACACAAAGTGATTTTGTAATGTTTACATAAATATTTTCCAACCCTAAACCCTTATTAATTTCATCACAATCTTACAAAAAATAAATTATACCAAAACTTATTACATTGTGAATTTTGTATTGGAGGAAAATATATTATTATTATTATTATTATTATTTATCTAATGATAGATTACAATATTTACAATTTCCCTTTATAGGGGTGGGAAGGGTGATGAGAGATGAGTGTGTTGTTGGTTGCGTTGAAGTTAGGATTTGGATGGTGTGATTGGTTCATTGGCATGTCATTATGGTCACATCATGGTCACTGTAGAGGCATAGCCATAGATTCTCCTTTTTGCAGAACCCTCTCTTTTTCTCTCTACCCTCCAACGTGCTCTCCTCCACACTGCACTGCACCCAATCCCAATTCTTCACTCTTTCACCATATCTCTCCAAATCACACGCGCCATAACAATCAAATTAATCAATTCTAACGAACGAAAAACAAATAATCAGGGAAATTTCACTTTTTCCCCCAAAATCCGAACGCGCCATGGTTTCCCCGGAAAACACCAATTGGCTCTTCGATTACCCGTTGATCGATGATGATATTACCGTCGGCGATGGCTCCTTCACCGTATCCGCATCCGCCTTCTCCTGGCCTCCACCTCCCTCCAATGTCAGGTACTCGTTCATTCCCCTAATTAGGGTTTCTGTTTCAATCTTAGTTCCCAAGTGGCTTGCCTTCGCTAACTTGTGTTTTGGTGGTGCTCTCTGCTTCTAGTGTTGAAATTGATGCTTCACTCGGGGATTCTGATGGCCTCAAAGATCCTGCTTTGAAGAAGAGGTACGCAATTCTCCTCCACATTTTCTTTCGAATAATTTAAAATTAAATGAAGAAATTTAACTCGTAACAACAAGAAATTGGACCAATTAGTGTGTGGTGGTGAGGTGATTTCAAGCTTGATTCTTGAATATATTTATTCGGCTTAAATTGGATTGTTTTCGAGAAGATAGCCCTGGTGTTAAACCAAAGAAAAGAGAACACATAATCCCCACTTGGCATTTTATTGGTTTTATTTCCCAATTTCTGCTGTTTGATTTTAGAGTTCATTTTTTTTACTTTACCATGTTTTTTCTTTTAACTTTTGCAGTAACAGTTGAAGACTGAAATTAAAAGACAGAATGGATTTTTTTAATAATTTTAAATGACAAGCTATGCTATTCATAGGTTGGTTATCGATTGACTGACAGTTATGAAGTATTATAATTAAGTGAAGTAGTGGCGATTCAACGAAGTTTATAATATGAAGATGCTAGTCAGTATTCATCAATGAAGAAATTCCCATGACAATCCTATTGCATATATGTTATCTTGCTGATATTGCGTTGTTTTTCCCTGTTTTCTCTAGCCACTCTCCCGGTGTAGAGCTTAAAGATTACTGGATTAAATCCAGATGCTAATTCTTGGATGAAGTTATGCTAGATCTCTTGTTTATTCCTGTTGCAGGGGGAGATCTGATTCGTGTACTGCTTCTAGCTCTAAGGCATGTCGGGAGAAGTTGCGAAGGGATAGGCTTAATGACAAGTAAACTTTTGAATCCTTACCATCTTCCCTCTGTTTATAACTGTTTTGGGGGCTTGTGTCTAATATGATTGACGTGCATAGGTTTGTTGAATTGGGCTCCATCTTGGAGCCTGGAAGGCCTCCCAAAACAGATAAGGCTGCCATTCTGATTGATGCTGTCAGAATGGTGACACAGCTGCGGGATGAAGCCCAGAAGTTGAAAGACTCAAATACGAATCTTCAAGAGAAGATTAAAGAGTTAAAGGTGATACCTCAATTTATATTCAATACATTTCCTTTAAAAGTTGAAGGACTTGTTGGGAGATCCTTATTCTAGGTCATTTCATTTCCCTAAAATTTTATACCATTACAGTAGTATATTGCACGGTGGGATAAGGCTATGTTGAATTTTGTCGCCGATCTACTGGAATAAGACTTTTTTGTTATAGTAGTTAGTAGTAGCTGTGATCGAAACATCGTGTAAACCAAACCTTATAAAATACTAACAGTTGAATTCCCATCTACTATGCAGTCTGAGAAGAATGAACTTCGTGATGAGAAACAGAGGCTTAAGGTAGAGAAAGAGAAGTTGGAGCTGCAGGTAAAATCAATGAATGCCCAACCTGCTTTCTTGCCACCCCCTCCTGCAATTCCTGCTGCATTTGCTCCACAAGGCCAAGCCCCGGGCAACAAGTTAGTGCCTTTCATCAGTTATCCGGGTGTTGCCATGTGGCAGTTTATGCCTCCGGCTGCCGTGGATACATCACAGGATCATGTACTCCGTCCACCAGTTGCCTAAGTTGGCATTTGTACAATTATTTGGGCTTCCATTTTTGACCCAAAAGTTGTATTTATTTTCCCATAGCTTCTAATTCTGTGTTCCAAGTAACTGGATTCAGAGGTGACTGACTGTATTTGGCATCTGATAATATTATGAAGTAATGAACGGCTGATATTTGCATGTAAATGATAATAAGCTTGTCTGGCTATCTTCGCGGGGGCTTTAATCTTTATTACTGGTTTTGACATAAACCAATGGCAGAACCAAAATAATAATAACAAAAATAAAGGTCAAGCACAGCAACTTTTTGTTTTCGTATTATGTTTATGCCGCAAAAACAGTAGAAGCATAAATGCTGCATTAGTTTTATTTTTGTAGTAGCCACAAATTTTATTTGAGAAAAAATTGGAATAAATTCTCACTAGTTGGAGTCATTCATCATACCAATGGATGTCAAACGAGATGCCTGCGAATAAAGCAATGCGTTAACGCGAGATTTTATTATTTTTTCAAGTATTTTGTAATTTTAACTCATCAAGATTTAAGTTGAAATTTTCTTTATTTTCTTCGCTGTAACTTCCCATGGCAATTACTTTTATAAGTTATATCTGCTATCCTCCACTCCGTGTTGGACTATTGTGTGGTTGGAAACAACGGGTGCATATTATTATCTTATCCGGATAGAGTTTTGCTGATTGAAACAAGTATTTCATATCAGAATTATAACACCTTACTGCTCTGTAAAACCTTAAATGGCATCTTTCTATCTCCACTCAATCCATTTCCAATCTATCCAAATTTCCAAGCGATCATCATGTGTGCCTCCACACTCCAATACTCAGATCATATCAATTTCATTTCCTACTCAATATCTTTACAACCACTGCCACAACTCCTGCATCAACCCACGTTCCATTGTTCCCCTCAAAGCTACATCCACTTCCATCCATTCCTCCCTGTCTTCCCCTAAACCACCTATCTCAAAGGAGGAGGCCATACTTCAGGCCAAAACATCCCTTTCAACAACCTTAGAGAAACCCCTCAACAATCCCAAACTGATAGGCAAATTTAAGAAACTAAGGCAACCCAAATTCCGGGTTGAAATTCCAGTCATTGATGACTCACCGGATTCACTGTCCCAACTTGCCCTCGATTTTTTTGGGGACTTACCCATCAAAAGAAAAGGTTCTTCCACTAAGATCTTAATCCTGTGGCCTGATGCTAGCTTGAAAGAATCTGCCACTGTTGCCTTTCAGTCTCATTCAACTATTGAACACATTGACATTCCTTCAGTGGCCCAAACAGACCCCAGAGTCATGAATTCGGCAGATGTGGCAATATTTTTGGCGCCTGAGAGCTCCCAATTGGCATTGGTAAAAAGAGTGAGTGATGCCTTTTATACAAAACCAGTGGTTTTGTTTAACCCAAAATGGTCATTTGAGGAAGAGAGCAACTTTGGTGATCTGAGTGGCTTTGTTGGTTCTTTTGAAGTGGTTTACTCTTTTATGGGGTTGGAAGTGAGAGGGATCTTGAGCAAAAGAAAAGGGGTGGTTTTTAAGTGTGCCAGAGATGGGGTTGTGAGTGGAGAGAGATGGAATGTTTATGTTGAAGAAGGAGAAGAATTGAAAGCGGTTTCCTCGTTCAAGGCCAGACCAAATATTGGTGAAGTTGAAAATGTATTGTACAATCTGATGGCTATCAATTCGCCCATAACCAAGTCTGCAAAGTTCATCAAGGGATTGGTGTCCAATGTGACAGGGAGAAAGTAAGTGGAGCAGAAGCATTGGTCATCACGATCTCTACTCACACGAATTGTTAGGAAGAACATTTTTTCCAAACATGTCTCAGTGATTGCAGGTGCACTAGTGTGACCGTTGTATGAAGTAAACATTTAGTAGCACACACCAATTTTCAAGGAGAACTCATATTATTTACGAGTCTATGCCTTAGTTATTAATAGTGTACTGAAAGATACCACTGCCTGAACATGAATTGCATGACAAGAAGCTCTGTTAGCTTGTTGTATTATATGTGAATTTGAATGAAATTGGATAAAATGGTCCTTTGATCGCCCTGAACTCTATATTATCTTCCAGAAGCGTATTGTCAAAAACCTTGTGCTCGAAGGTTTGTTTTCTCATAAAAGGGAAAAAAGTGTTGTTTTTAATACATGTATATGATCTACAAATACTCATACTTACAATATGGATTGAAGAGAAAAAGAATCTGAGAATTTCAATTGAAGAAAGAGTTAAAAAAATAAATTTTCAAAGCAAGAAAGGAGCATCTTGGTCATCGTTGTTGTCTCTTTGTTGTCGTGGAAGGCCTGATGCTTGAAAGAACACTCTCATTTTCCATTTCCCCCGGATGCAAATTCCATTTCTTAAACTCATCTATGAGGTCACGTTTTCTTAAGATATAAGCTATGATGCCCTAATGTGACAACTCTTGATGAACTTATCTGAGAAGTCAACATACTTTGTCCACAATTTCCTTAGTTGCGGAAAAGCTATTTCTAGCCATGGCTTTGCCCTGCCATTGTAATGGACAACACCAGCACTCTCAGCATCAGCAAAACTTGTATTTTCCTGATATCCCAATCCCAGCATATGCCAGAAAGGATCAATAACGTGAACATGACCATGAAATGCTATCAATCCTGGAGGTAATGTCCCTAGCTGCCACAAACTCAGGTCTGATTTGATATTCTACATGAAGCAACCAGAAATATCAATATTGTATCAACTATCACTCTTATGGATAGTCAATTTCAATGACACATTCGAAATATATCATAATTTGAATTTTATTCTATTTCATTATATTATTATATGGTAGAACGGAAGATATATATACCTGCTCAACCCAATAATGGTAAATGTTGCTTATATTAGTCTTCCGCCAAGCCTCCAAATCGAAAATGTTCATGCCATAGGCCCAGGCACATTCATTGGGATTAAAGTTTTTGGATATTAGAGGGTGGGAGAAGTTCAAATAGCTTTTCAACTTCTTTGACATCACAAATTTATCTTCTCCTGTGCATGTTTCTACAGCTCCATTTACTTTTCCATTCATTTCGATGTCCCACAGAGGTGAAAGATCAGTTTGTACCACAATGTCATCATCGAGGAAGACCACCTTGTTAAGACTTGGAAATAACTGTTGAGAAAAGCAAAACATTGTGGCAGTAAGCATTATTATAGGCACCAAAGACTTACGTGATTATGAGCCATCATATAAAAGCTTTACTTGCTATACTATGCTTTATCATTTTTACCTCTGGGAGATGTATCCGGATGTGGTTCATCACTGAATTATACTTGGGACTAAGTGCTTGCAGTTTTGCTGCAATAACTTTTGGCTTCTCAGTAGCATTTGCAACTATAGCTGATGAACCCCCTCTAAACTGTGACCTCACCTTTTGATCCTTCTCCATAGCTTCCAGAACAGGCACCTTTCCCTTTGTAAACCAATCAAAATGGTGCAACGCCTTCACCTCAATTATAGCAGGTGACAAAGAATGCAATGAGAACCAAGCCTGCATGGGGTAATAAGTCTTCCTGTCTGTAATTATGTGTAACACAACCTTCTGAGGTCTCAAAAAGTTGCGAACAAGCGATGTTGCAACAACGGATGCAGCCAGCACATTGTCTGAGGCAAGAACAAAATGGAAGTAGGAGTTGTCAACCAGGGCAGGGACTAGTTCTGCAGCGGGGAGCTGAAGGCGTGCTGCAGCATTGTTGGTGTGTTCATTGGCCAAACTCAAGGAAAGGCAGTGAAGTTCTTTTGGTATACTACTTGATGCTACATGTCGATACAGATATTCTTGGATTTTGGCTAACCTAGTTCTTTCTTCCATTAGGGTCACCTAGAAATGTTCAGAATTGTGGTTAATGGAGAGTTCAACTTGGACAACAACTGCATGAAATGAACTTTCTTCTTTTTTAAAAGAATTGGAGAATGGTACCATTTCTCGAAGTTTAACTGCAAATGTCTTGGCATCATATCCACCTTTCTTCATTTCAGTCATGAACTCTTCTAAGGTCTGAGGAATGTCAAACCTACCCTGAAGTTCATGTTTGCCAAGAGGTTCATCTAATGTTTGGTATATCACTTCTGGGACCTGTCAAAAGTCATGTCACTATTCTCACTCACCAATGGAATTAAGGTCATCAATAGTAAAATCCATTAAGAACGTAATAAATATCAACAGAAGAGTTCAGAAGATTACAGTTGATTCACGCCGTCTGCCCAAAATCCTTGGTCCTAGTTTTTTTCCTAGGCAACCTACCAGTATGATTTGAAAGTAAATCAAAATGTCAAATACAATGATATAATAAACATATTTTCTGAAATTGTAATTTCTAGCCTTAAAATTCATGTACATGCTTGAAAAAGTCAGGTTTTCTTTTCTTCTAATTAAAAAGTCAAGAATTTTTGTGGTTTCCTGATTCTGAAGTTCATCCTTTTTCATTGTGTCTTTAAGATCATGAAGCCTATCAAGTGTGCTCGTGAGCTGGTACTGTAATATACCTTATCTACACTTTAAAATGGAAATCTTAAATGGATGGTCAGGTTTACCTCGATCATAACTTAATAAATTCTATCCGCCGATACAATACAAGATAGATAAGGGCCAGTTCTCACAAAAGGGATGATATAAAGAAACTCAAATAATAGATTTACTTAATAGTCTAATGCATCTCTTATCAGAGATTTACAGTTTCCATATGGATCTGTAATAGGTGGGGTAAGATAACATATAGATAGATAAATATTTCTGATGTGTACATCAATAAAGATTTAAAAACAAACATACAAATGTATATGCATCTTTTCCATTATGTGGCAGGTTCCTTTAATTTATCAGAAATATGAGAAGTTATAAATTTTTTAAATAAAAGGTCGGTGAAGATTTGAGGATTTGTTCGAGGAGTGCCAAAGAGCTATTTAAAATTATTATATTTCAAAGCTTTGTAAAATAATAATATGCTTTGATATATGGGAAATTCAAGCCTTATCCACCCTTCTTGCTGCACTTCCACTAGTGCACCTGTTGCTGTCTTTCTGTCGATGCTTGCATGTGTTTATCTTTGTGATCTTGCATGTGTGAATGTGAGTGCATGTGACAGAGAGAAAGAGGAGCTGATAGTGTACCTATGGTAGAGCATTTGTTTTCTCCATCAATGCCATCCACTTGTGTTAAGACAAACACAAACCGAAGAAGAAAAGTGAAGAACAAGAGTGAATAGAAGAGCATCCGATAAGAGACACGCCTTGATGCAACCTTCACTTTGATAAACTCCTTGAAACCTTTGCTTGGAAACACAGTGACATGCCTCAAACTTGGAGATATGTGGAGCTGCATATTGTCCTAATACAACAGAAGAAAACACCAATGACACCACAATGAGGCAAGGCAACACCAAAGAGGGCCTTGAGTTCCTCCTCTTCAACTGCTATAGTCCTTATTTCACTTGACAATTCAACAGCAGAGGAGAACTGCAAGAACCCTTGTCAGGTTATGGTGTAAAAGGAAGGCTTTGGTAGTGCTTAATGTTGCTATCTTCCACCTAACCTTGCTTAGCATTTGGGTCAGGCATGTCAATGGTGTTTGAGGCTTTAATATTTTATCTTTTTCAGGTGAGAACTGAGGTGGTTGTTAAGGAGAAAGAGACATGGGACTAATAGGGAGAGTGTTGTTTGGTTCAAGTTTTGGGTACTGGCTTGGTTTTGAAGGAGGGAAGTGTGAGGAAGAAAAGAAAATTAAATTTGAACTTTGTGTTTGTTTGTTTGGTGCACAGTATATGTTTTGGCTTTGCCTCCACATGAAGCGTTTTAATTAGTGTATAGAGTTTGGAGTTTGGACTATGACAGAAAAAAAAAAGGACTTGTATATAGAAAATGACTAATGCTCTCTCTCTCTGAGGTGGGGTTGAGATGTGGTTGTTGTTGGAGTGAGAATTCAGTAAACCTTGTTTATATTTCTCTTGGAAGCATATGGAAATATATGATAGTTCAAGCCCTTGTTAAGCCTAGTAAGAGGGTTAGTTATTGGCAATTAGGAAAACCTGCTTTGACCAGATTCAATGTTGTTTATTTGTCTGTAATAAATGGTGTACGGAGAATAATTTGGAACTTTGCATTAGGTGCAAGAAATTATGTCTCATCATTTTCAAGTTCATTATCACCTCTATCTGTAGGACACCAGGGACATGGTCCATTGCCCTAAGTAATAGACACAAAATCTTTCATTTCTTTTCACAAAAAGAGCAGCAACTACTGAAAAACCTCAATGAATCTTAATTTGCTGACAAACCTTGTTATGTTCTGCAACTATATATATATGCTATATAACAACAACAATAAAAAGATGATGAGAAGGTACCAATGCATAAAACTTGAGGAATGCCATTGTATGATTTTAATAATTTATTTTGAACAACTTATTCATAGGATAGTTTTATAACATTTTTACACTATTAATTATGTTTTTAGTATAGAGTAAATTACGTTTTAGTTTCCCATTATTTAATGTATTTTACTTTTCTAAATTTTAAAAATACAAGTTTATTTTTTTCAAAATTATTATTTATAGATTAAAATTAACTTTAAAAAACATTTTATTGTCTTAAATTTAGTGTTTAGTTATATATATTCAAATTTTAAAAAGTTAAACATTTTTTTAAAATTTACATGATAAAAAACCAGATTCATTACAAATTTTTAAAAGTCTCTAGAGTTTTTTTTTCTAATGTATTTAGTTTTTCTTTACCTTTTAAATCACATTATCCATACTTTTTTCTGATGTACTTTCTTAGAAATTAAATGTACGAGGCCTTTCGGAAAATGCTTGATCTAATTTTGAAAAGAAAAAAAATGGAAACAAGTAATATCAAATCATTTAATTTTTTTGGGATTTAAAAAAAAAACTTTTCAACAAATCTAACCAAAATCGGTTCGATTTTCATTATTAAAAAATTAGTTACTTTTTACAAAAAATTTTATAAAAAAATTATTTACAGAAAACTTATTTCTTGCAAAATTTTATAAATAATTTATAAAGATGTTTTCATAAAACATCAGAATTTCTAATAATGTTTAGAGATTCAATTAATAACTTGCTAACATTTTTCGAATTTTTAATTAATAATATTAAAACCTATAAATTCATCATTCAAATTAATAACAATTCTTAAATTTAAAATGCTAAAATGATTGAAGTATATTTATTGAAAAATTTTCATTTATAACATATATTTCAGTCACCATGTTGAAACCTTTATTAGTCTCAACCTTCACTTAGTTAATACAAGTAGTATATACCATCATTTGTCTCTTATTCATCACAATGCCTTTAATATTATCTACTACAACATATAAAAGAGGTATGTTTATTTGTATATTATTTATTAAAACAAAACATTTAATTTAATTTAATTATTTTTCGTCTGAAATCTTGATCTTAACAAGAATTTATTAACAAGTAATATTTCTCTTTACTTATTAGTTTAGTAATTTTGCTGGTTAAAATCTTGCCAAAAAAAAATCAATAATATTGTTATTATTGATATTCTTTAAAGAATTTCATTCCTAAGTAATGACAACGTTTACTCATTCAATGAAGTGTAAAATTATTGTTCTGAATTAGAGTGAAAAAAAAATTTGTTTGATGATGTTATTGTTAAAATTTATTTCATATATAATTCTATTGTAATTATATAAAAGATACTAATCTTATGTAAAAATCTATAATTATATTTATAATTATCTAATATGATAAATTTAAGATCCTAAAACAATTCGCTTTTTAAATTAAATAGTGTATTTATATATTTTCAATTTCACACAAATATATTATAGAACAGTAAATAACGGATTCAAATATATAAAATTAAAAGAGATAAAATAAAAAAATTTAAATACTTAATAATAATTTAAATAAAATAAAAAAATACACTATCCACCAATAGGTTTAACAATTATATATATATATATATATATATATATATATATATATATATTATTTGAATAAAACAAACTAAATTTTTGACTTAATTCAAATAAATTATATATATATATATAAACTAATAGAATATCCCCCACATGCCACTGTAACTTAAGGAAAGTGTTGGCCTTGTTTCTGAAGTGAAGAATGGGAAGTCCATTAAGTTAGGCTTTGAGATCGAATGTCCTTTCTTGTCCAATCCAACAAATTATTTAAGGTTGTTGTTTTCATACTTTTCATTAATATATATTAAAAAATTAAATAATATATAAGTTATAAAAAAAATTTATATTAAAAAGAATTTAAATAATATATCTTTACTTGTGTATTTCGCAAGATGAATATTATTTTTTATGTGATTAAAATTCATAATAAATAAATAAATACTTTTTTAATATGTATAAATTATATTATAACTAAAAATCATGTTAAATAAACATTTTTAATATATAATTAGTGAGAGGTTTAAAATTAAAAAATAAATTTTGCTTAAAAAATGAGAAATGGTAGAAAAGGTACTTCAAAATAGTAGATAGGATACGTAAAAGATAACAAACCTTATCCTCTGTCATAAATAAAATTCTGATTTATCTTTTACATCAACTTTGAGGATGATGTACTATCTGACAAATGAAAATGACTGATATTATGAAAAGAAAAATTAAGATCTAATTTATGAGGCTGTGTATTAATTCCTATAAATTATCTAAATAAAATTGGGATACTATATGCATCCATTGCCAAAATTAAGTGAAGATGAAGACATTAATCTTGAGTCATATAAAAGACAATTAAAATGTTTTCCTTTTGTGTATGATATTTTCCATGAAAGTAACAAGATGATGGTGTTGCATTCTGAGATTGAAAGACACTCTAGTTGACACTTGTGGCAGCCAAGACTGACCAAAACAGAGGAGGTTTTAACTCCATTGATGAGGACCCTTTGGGCCTTTTGTTTCTTCTTACACCTCCATATTTTTCATGACCCATGTTAAATGATAAAAATTCCCTTTATATTTTTAACTTTCGAAAAGGCCAATCTGAAAAAATTTTAAAATTAGTTTTCTATAACTTATTTATATTAAAGAGAAATATTTTCATTTTAGATGAATATAGGGTGTAGAAAGAAAATATAGAGACATAAGAACAAACATTACTGGACAAACATCTTATAAAAATTCCTTCTTTACTTTCTTGCTACACCCTCTTTTCTTTTTCATCCCATAACATAAATATATTTAACGGACAAAACACCCTTTTAAAATCTTTAACATATTCCAAAAAAATTTAAAAATATTTTCACTATTGGAGATGTTTTAAAAAAATGATGAAGTTGAAATTTTATAAAATATGGACGTGCTGCTGGAAGAAAAAACCTACTTTTTGTTTGTATATGAAACCCTTGAGCCTGCCAATATAATGTAACAACAACACTCAACTAAGCTATTTGCTTTATTAGAGAACAACTAAAAATTGTTTGGGAGAAAAAATAAAATAAAAGATTGACTTTAGATATGTAATTATTTATGATATTTTTAGCCTTCAGAGAATTTTGGTCTAATTTGGCAATTAAACCAATGTGTTGGCCACAATGTAAGCCTATTTTTTTTATCCAAAATGCACCTCTTGGAGAACTTTCCAACACCAAATAAACCACCATGCACATAAATGAAGAATCATGGTCAAAACTTACATAAGATGTTGAAATTTAGTTGTATGTGTTTAAGGTATACTCAATATTCTACCTTAAATAATGGTGCTAAAGAAACTAGAATTAGAGTTTTGGAGACGGTTGAATAATCTGCACATAAAGGCTTACATTAGATGTTCTCAAAAGTCATAAGTTCTTGAGATTAAATTCTGGTTCAATTTTTTTATTAACACACAATATTACTAATAATTATAGACTAATGTGTGTTTGTTCATTTATTGAAAAAGAACATTTTTTTTTTCATTTAACACTCTAATTAAGAATTATCATATGTGAATATACTATAAAAACTAGCAGAACCAAAGCTAGTTAACATTTTTGGAGAAGATTTAAATTAAAACCTAATTACTCAAAAAACACTCATGAAAGAATGGTAGATGTAGGTTAATTTTAAGACAATGTTCAATTTGGTTTCAAATGCCAATTCTTTTTTCCTTTCCAAGAAGTTCAAGAAGGACCATTGACTACTTTGGAAGATCCTTGGCGAATGACTTGCATAAGAAGAAATACAAAGTCTAGAGTTTCAAGCAACAAAATTTAAGTGTTTTTTTTATTATTTTATTAAAAAAAACTCTTATATTTTCTGCAAGAGTTTTTGAAAAAAAAATCCCTCAAAAATAGTACTACAGTATTTTAGAATGAAAAAAAAATAATATATATATATATATATATATATATATATATCTACTTTATTTTGATGTTAAATGTGCTAACAAAATGTAGTTGAAATAAATGTTTAAATTAATATCAATCAATCATAAACCTTTTGTGGAAAATGTGTACTCCAGTATAGATAATTAATTACAGTGGGTGGCCAAACAAAAAACTCAACAATTAAGAAGGCAATTAAAACCACCCTGTAATAAAATCATTGGAAACAACCTTGTAAATAACAAAATTAGGGTTACAATTTTAGAATTAAAAAATTGATTTAGTGGCTCTTTATTTTAAAATTTTCTAAAATTAATTTTAATTTTTTTTATTTTTAACCTTGAATGTAATTAGAAATATTTGGTAAATTAATCTCCATTAGACATTATACATTAAAATATATAATTGATTTTAGGTCATTGGTACAACTACAAACATTAGTATTATTGTATTGCACGAAATTGAAAAGACAACATTTTCATTCCGGCATGTAATTTATATCGAAGCATTATTTGAGGTTCCAAAATTTCCATAACAAATTAAAGAAATGATTTTTTATTGTCAATAATTAAGGACCACAAACCCTTTGAAACACTTTTTTTACTTATATTCATAACACATTATTTATATGACCTATTTTCTGTCCCATTGATAAATAATATTAAAATCTTGGTTTTATTAAATTTGAGGGTTTAATTAGTGATGATAACAAAGTCAACAAATGGGTATTTCAAATATATTAATTTAAAAATTTGAATATATATTTTTTAAAAATATAGTATATTATTGATAAAATAATATTTGATTTTTTTTAAATATTATTATTAGGGTTATGATATATTCCCAATTCACTTTTCTTAAAAATCTTTTTAATAATTTATTTTTAGATTTTTATATTATTATTTATCTATTTTAATTTATTTTCTATCCATCAATAAAAAATAATATTTTAGAGTTAGTTTAGAAAGATTGAATGTAAAAAAATCTTTTTCCATTCATTATTATGACATTCTTTTAACATTTTGGTACTTATTCTTATTCCATTTGTTATTTGTAGTTTGAACCATCACATCAAGTTTCATATTTTGCTTGGCCCATCAATCATTACCTTATCAAGTATCCATCTTCTTATCCCAAAAGATATACTCACTGCATCATCAATGATTTTTTAGAAATCTAATGAGTGAAATCAAATTGAGTAAAATCAAATTAGGTTCAGAGAGGGAATCTTCTTATTTGTATTGATTGAAATTAAATTAGGTTTAATAATAACTTTTGGTATCTTTAAAATAAAATGTTACTCTATAATATTTAACATTTAATAAATATGTTAAGTTAGCCCAGATAATTGTTATATGTTATTCTGAATTAATTAAGTTAACATAAATTTTGTTAATATCACATACCAACATACATATACTAATGTTTAACTAAGATGATTATATGACAACAATATTAATTCAATAATAATAATAATGTAAGAAACAAAATTACATATTAAATATATTTTGATTAAATAGAAATTTCAATACAGCACAAATTGAGGTGTCAAAAGCTTATTTAACCTAATAAATTCATGAAACCAATCACATCCTAAGCTTTTTAAAATTAATCAACTCTCCTTTTATTTTATACAATTTTTGTAAGACAATTACATTATTAGCCCTTTGTATGATATACATGAATCTTCTTAAATTTTGAAAACATTATACTTGCAACCTCTCATAAGGGAGATAAAATTAATGATGAAAAAAAATGGTATAATTAATGGCATGGTGAAGGAAAAAACTTTACCTCAATCTTTTGTTATATAACCTAATTAATTGGGTATCTTAACCTTACATATTTAACATGAACTTAGAAAAAATAACAAACGTGGGATAAGAAATAGACTTAACAAATTTCCATATAATTTTTATCTTTAATTATATACTTTTGAACTTGTCTTCCTACAAACTACATTATCTATTATCTAATAATATGATAATAATAAACCAAATCAATTTCATTAGTAGAATAAAGAGAGACAAAGTGATTCTATTATTTACACATTAAAACTAATTATTGATATACAAGTGTTCGTTATTTACAATGTGAACAGAGAAACCCATCATAGATAGTATCCACAATTTTGCATCATAGTCAAGCTTGTGAAGCTACTCCTCAAGCTTCTCTATCTCTCCAACCATATTATATTAACAGTGTTAATTAAGCCTCCATTGCCAAATGAAAGAATATTCCATGCCTGAATTAAAAGCCCAAAAGGTGAAAAGCCAATGACAAATGTATACATTAATAATAACAGTAATTAAACAATTCTGGTACAAGCACAATGCTTCCACACATTATTAATAAAAAAAACACCAGTGATAACATCAATAAGAACTTTGTTGTCTTTTTTATTATTATTTTAATGTATCCTAGGAATTTTTATGGTTGACCCTATAAACATTATGCTAATACAAGAATTACAAATGATTTATTGTGTTGTAAACAATGTATAAAGCAGATGCAAACAAATTACCTTGAATCAAATTCATCTCCATTTTCTTCAAAATGATTCTTCATTTTCAAGCTTTCTGTCACTATTTACAAACATGAGTTGAGCCTCTGTGTTTAAGTGCTCCCTTCTATTATTTACAATCTCATGCGGAGTATTTGGTTTAAAGTTGTCATTGTTATTTACAAAGCTCACAGTTTCAGAAGGCACCACATGATTATCCCACTCAGTTCCTGCATTCCCACTTCTGCACTCAGAATCAGCATCACCACCAGTCCTACATGAAACCCTACCATTTCCAGATGGGCGCAAACTGTGATGCGACGACAGTTCTTCATCTTTCTTGATATCCATAGAAGAAATCCTGCAACTCAATCATAACTTTTCAATATCATAAATAAGCAAGCTATCTCAATGCATAAGGGGGGTGTTAATTATAAAGAAAGAATCAATAGTAAATTAATGTCACCGAACCTTGTATCGTTTAACTTTGGAGTCTGAATACAGTCAGTAATTGGAACCAAGTCTTTTGATCTAGCTTCAATTATGCAAGTTGACATTCTTTCAATCTCAAATTCACCTCCTGATGCAGCTTCTTCCCCCATTATGTCAGGCTCTTGCAACATCGAATGAAAATATATCTGGTTGGGAAAATAATTATTCATGTAAATAACAAGCTATAAGGCTTAACATAAGAGACAAAAAGCATAGTTTCCTGATTTAAAATAATATACCTCTGGTTTGGCCCATAATGAAGTCTGAGCTTGATGCATATGAAGTTCAGCTTCTGAAATATACAAATGATGCTTATCCTCAAGAGAGGGATTCACTTTCGTGACGCCATTCCCGATTTTCGGGCTAGAGGTGTTTTCCCCCACTTCCTCTGGATATATTTTATTAACATCGGAAATTCCATTCTCACCATATATGTCTAAATTATCATCTCGCTCTCTCCGACTATGACTTTGACATATATTCCATTTTTGGATAGCCTCAACTACTAATCTTGCATCATCCTGTGGAATGGATTCATAAGCAGGAGCCAATCCAGAAACAAGAGGTGAATCTTGACCAGTTAACATCCGTAGAGCATATTGTATCATAGAACCAGTAGGTGAAAAGACCAACAGGCGATACTTTGACTTTGAATAGTTCCCGTCAGAGCTTTTATTCTTGCAAAAAGATGAAGCAATAGCCGCAGAAAGGGAAATTTTCCTACCAGTTGCAGCAGCAGCAGCGCCACTTACAGTGCCTCTCCAGCCATTAGCTCCATTCCTGATCCGGCTTACCACAGAAAGAGTGATTGGAGGGCCAGCCACAACCAAACTATGCCTTTTAGGCCTTTGCATGGTTGAACTATGAGACCAGCCCAGGGCGTGATTAGCTGTAGTGCCTAATCCACTATTTTTTGCCATAAAACTATCATCCAAGGATTGAATATTTACATGTCCTCCTTGAGGATTTATGGCAAATAGATGGCTAGTGCCCCTGCAGGAACTGATCATAATCCACTTGCTGTCATCACTGAAACTGATATCTTGAATAACCTGAAAGTCCAATACATATTATGATAGGTTCATGTTAGTTGTGTAGATCTATTTTGAAAAATACAATGATAATGTATTAAACAAAAACAAAAATGCACTCACCGCATTTGTAAAGCCACGTTGCAGCTTGTACAAATGAAAATAAGAAGGGCCAGTGTCAGAAGGTGACAAATTCTCCCGAACAGGCATTATCTTGAAAACATTTATGTTATGACCCTGAATGGAAGCTGTCACTAAAATGGTGCCACTAGGATCAAAGCATAATGCTGAAATTGGACTCTTGTGGGCCCGGAATTGAGCAATAACGTTTCTGGAGACAATATCTTTTACAATAACCTGAAATAGAACAAAAGCAATGTGAGCCTACGTAAAAAGATGCCATAGCAGCAACCATAACAATACTCGCAATCTGAAACATAAAACAAAAAATAATAATGTAATATTTTTCTGCCATGTACCATCTCTACAAACCATATACATTCTAAAAATGGACTACTTTATCATCTGTTTGGAGCCAACATATATATATATATATATATATATATATATATATATATATATATATATATATATATATATATATATTCTCAAGTTCAATATATAAATAAGTGAACACAAAATCAAGAATAGCATTTCACCATTCCAATGTTATCTGCATCTGTTGAATGACCATTAATGGTTCCATTGCTTTTATAGCCAGAGTTTACAGATTGTAATGAGCCATTGGTATCAGAGCAGTATCTGGAAAGTTTCTTATACCCCATGTCGCCAAGGGTTACAATACCGGTAGCAAGATGCTTGCTGGACTCTTTGGCATAGTGGGCAATCAAATTCCCATTATAAGAAAAACCAGAAAAGCTTGCAGAAGGCGTCAAATGTTTTGCGCTGACATGTCCTGAATTGGAGACAGCAACTGCACTTCCACTATAAGCCAACCATCTTGGTCCCACCGCAAGTGGTCCATAACCTATGCCTCCAGAACCAGGGACACTCATGGATATAGGATTCGTGAGTAAAATGTATGCCCTTATTAATGTGGTGGCATCAAAACAGTGAATCTGTAAAAGAATGATTGTATAAAAAATTCCATCAAACATTATAAAGTTGATCAGTATAGTATATTTATTAGAAAGTATACCTGTGAGGACTGAGACACTGCAACTACTCGAGAACTGCACCTCACAGAATAAACAACTGATCTAAATTTCAGCACATGAACATATGATTGGGATTTCATAGAATAAAACCGAACAGTAGTTGGCAGATAGTTTCCATTCATTTGGTCATGTAAGTTTATGGTGTTCCCATTATTAGGGGTGGCCAACCCATCCTGAACAATACTACCTCCAGCAAAGAACCCATCAGTACATACAACCAACAGCTGGCGGCTGTTTGCATAATTGTCTTCAGATCTCTTTGATGCAATGGGATTAGGTACCATTTGCATAAAAGAAACAGGACCATCATGTCGGGATACAAGGTCTCGGACATTATTTGATTCATCAACATGCCAAACCTGGAAGCCAGATCGATAGCCTAGAAGAAGTACTTTCTGAATTACTTCACCCTCACCCTCTAACTTGTCAAACCCAGCCCAGATAACCTATATAAATTTATAATTCAGATAAGTCATCAATTCAACCTAAATTATAAAAAATGTAAATAGAATAAAGCATCAATCAGATTCAGCACTGCAAAGGAAATATAAATGTTAAGAACTTGATGTGGATTTGAGTAATTAAAAGTAATTCTCTAGACATTCACAAAAAGGCTTAAAATATTCAAATACAGTCCCATTACAACAAATCACAACTAGATGTGCAAATAGACGAAACAACCTGATTATTTCCGAAAGCACATAGCTTGACTTATAAATTATGCGTTCAGACAACCAATTAAAACGGATTACATCTCTTTTTAATATAAGGAAGTCTTTTAATTCAATTATCGTGAAAGAGACAAATAAAAGAATTCCACCGTTCCAACTTTAAATTTTACCTTCATATCAATCAAATTTGGCCACAAAATTTTTAATCCCCTTATACCTCACATTAATTCTTATCCATGCAATGTCACATGCTCTCGCTTATATCCAACAACTGACATCATTCCTTGCTACACAGTATATTCAATCCAAATATAATCCATGTTTCTATTCTAGTCAAAATTAATAAAACTCAAAATATACAAATTCTGATATCAAACTATCAAAAAGAGCTAGACAAGGGTGAAAGAGATTAGCAGAATCATAAACTAGAAAGCTAATAGAATCAAAACCACCAAAATTTTTTATATTAAAGTGTCAAGAAACCAGAAATTTTTAAATTGCAAGCATGCGTTCAATAGTTTACCAGATAGTGGTTGATTGCAGTCAAAGAAGACTATAACCCTAGGCAAACTTAAAGAACAATAGCAGGTATGGGTTACACACAGGTGCCTACGGAATTGTATACTTTATCAGAGGCAGAAAAACGCATGTGCTTCTAATTTAGTATTAAAAGCATTCCATTCAACAAAAGATCGTTCATAAGAACTTCACAAACAGGAAGCCACTAATTGCACCCAGCAAGAACTCTCGGCCCCCTTATCCCCAAAATCACACATTGAATAGAAACATGACCTCAAATTAAAAACACCATACCTTATTATTTAAACTTGCACCCAACAAATTCAAGTAAATAATGTTTAACCATGCCTTAATGACTGATTATGAACAAATAGCAGCCACTATACCATATTCGCATGCTAATACTTTCTCTAAAATTAGAAGAAAAATAAACCATTCAGATACACGATCAAGGTTTATCTCAGTCACAAATCCGGAGAGTTATTTAAACATTCAATAAATCTAAACCTGTTCTCTAAAATTAGAAGAAATCTAAACCATTCAGATACATGATCAAGTAATTAAACAATTATACATAATCCAAAAATAAACACCCTAAAAATGCAAACAAAACACCTTTAAAATTTTAATCAATACAAACCACAAGTTCACCCTGATGACCAATCAAGCAACTATTCCCAAATCACCAACAAAAAAATCTGACACATACCTGATCATGGTCGGGGACATCATCCCTCTCCACAATGGATGAAGCTACAGATGCAGCAGAACGTGCAACAGTAGAAGCACCAGAAGAAACAATCCTGAGGTAGCTTGAAAGAGCACGAAAAGAACTAGGAATGAAGCCGTTGGTTTTGCCACCACCATTACCCTGATGAAGAAGCTGTTGCTTCTGTGCATCATTCCTCATCCCCATCACCAAATACACCAAAATAGATCCTAACCACAACAAAATAATCAACGATTCCTCAAATTCACCTTCAATCATAACCCTCCCAACTTCCCTCCCTGTTCTTCAACCTCTCCGACTATCCACAACCACAACAAATCTTCAATCACACCCACCAAAAATCACAACCACCCCAAATAAAAAAAAAAAAAATCTTTTTTTCTGGGTTCTGTTCCACAACACCACAAACGACAAAGACAAAAAGGATGGGATTTTTCTTCGCCCCAATCAATAATTATTTTTGTTATTATTATCGAACAAATGAAAAAAAAAAAATAAAGGATTCAACTAATTACACAACAAATTCACAAAAAAAATGAATCTTCGCGGTTTAAAAATGCTAGATATGATTGATCAGAGAGGATTAAGGTAAAGGGTGTTCCGAAAACCGGCGGAGAACCTTGGAAGAGATCTGATGAGAGAGAAAATCAAAAGCTAGAGAGAGAAAAACTGTAGAGAGGATGAAGGAAGTTAGAGATGGAGAGAGAGAGAGAAAAAAAAATGGAACTGGTGATTGGATAACAAAGGAAGGAAGGACGAAGCAAAACGAAACGGAGGAAATGAAAAATAAAAAGAAAGAAAAAAAATAAAAGAGTCTCGGTTCACGTCTCTTATGTTTCTCTCTCCAAGAGCCTTTTATTAATTTTTTCAAAGGTGTTTCTTCTTTTCGGGTGTTTGTTGTTGGTTGGGTTGGGTTGTGTTGTGTTGGAATTTCAAAGTTGTTCCTTCCAACCAGTTCAACTAAAAAACTAACCACCTTCTCCTTCTGTAATCTCTCTCACACGTCTTGACCAGTATCAAACGCTGTCAAACAGTTTCTCTTCTTCTTTTCACCTCTCTCTTCATGAAAACATTTGATTGGGGCACCCCTTTTATCACCATAAATAAATTATTAATTAAACACGCTGTGGGATTAAAATGATTGAACAATTAAATTAGGGTGTGGCTGTCCCAATTCCATTATGGGAACAACAATGAATGATACTATTGCAAGTTACTACAGTTATCTAAATATACGTCACTTCTTCCATAAGTTTATTATTTTCTGTTTTTCGCAACTTACATTTTTCTCCATAGGAACCCTTATGACACGTTGTTTAAAGTTTAGTTTTCTTATATATTGCCATTTTGGTTAAATAAAAAAAATACATTAGAAATAACTGAAATTTAAAATAGTAATTTTTTAAAATTATAGTTTTATTATATGTGATTAGTATATAGTATTTTATATTTTAAGTTCTTATATTTATTTGGTTATTTCATATTTTATATAAATTTGAGTTTTATTTTAGTAAAGATGATAGCTTTTAACCATCAATAAGATGACACGGTAAAAAATTGCTTTTATGATGTTATTGTATTCTAATTACATTGACATTTTTTTTAATGATGATAATTAATTCCATCAGCAATTATTAATATATTTAAATTAATCAGAAATGATAAATAATTAAAGTGGATAAAAAAAATTGCCCAGTTTCATATTATATTTTGAAAAAAAAATGAGTGTGTTTCTATATTATCAGTTTAATTCAAGTTATTTAAAAAATATAATTATTTACTAATCGAAGATGACGAGTTACAATATAGTTTTTTTCTGTTTATATATTTTTAATTTGTTTTACATTTTAAAAAAATAACTCACTTAATTAAAAACTAATTTCACTCGTAGTTAACTCAACAAACTTACACAATAAAACAATAAACAGAAATTGTTTATTATATAAATTATTCTGTTAATACGTAAGTGCAGAATGTGTAACTATAATATCATGTATTTTATCTATTCATATTATTTTAATCTTTATATATTATAATAATTTAATCTTTATATATTATAATAATTTTCTTTGCGCGTATATTTTTTAACTTTTCCGCTTCTCCATAAACACGTCTTTTAATTATGAATACTTTTTACTTACAGCTATTTAAAAAAAAAATCCCTTGATTAAATTAAATTAAATTAAATTCGGGTGAAAAGAAAAAACGACTATTAAAGTTTAACATTCGGAAAATAAATAATGAAAAATGGAAAGTTGAAATTAGTCAAACATGGGTAGTTTAATCATTGTATGAAACTCGTGAGCTAGGACACGGACCGAATATATTTTGCATTTTAGTTTAAAAATAAATAAAAAATGAGTACAAATATGGAATTCAGCTATGAAAAATAAAAATAGCACTTTTCCAACAACCTCACTTCCTTTTCTTCTTTTTTTAGGGTTGAAACAGATGAAGGATGATGAGAGAAAGTGAGAAAAAGATTCCATTGGTTACTGTGGATATGTGTTACGTTATGAGCATGTGTTTCCTCTCGGGATTATTATCTGGATTTGGTTGTTTTTTTAGTAAGTTTGTTATGGAAGAAATGATGAAGCTTTTGGTTCCACAACAAATGTGGGGGACCAAAAAATTTAGGCCACCCAATTAGGGGAATGAGCCATCTTCCCCTACAAATAATTGGTCATTCTTTTCGCAGCTATACAAAGCTCCAGACAAAAACACACCTCTCAAAATATTCAAGTAATTTTAAAAATATTAATTTCTTCCTTCGGGAAAAAAATATTATAAGAAGCAGATATAGTTGAAGATGTTTTTAATATTAAAGCTTCATATAAATTTTAATAAAATAATTAAAAAAAAATTCTTGTTGTAGGAGTCTCATCGAAATAAAAAATAGTTTATAAACATATTATTCTCACAATTTATCTCTAAGTTTTTAAAAAATATAAAATTATTCCGATATCATATTCATTATATGATAATATCATTTTTGTTACCGTTTTATTTTTAACAGATATTTTGATAGGTTAAAAGAAAAATATTATTTATAAACTATTTTTTTCTCAATTTATAAATAATATCAAAACATAAATTTTTTTAATCAAAGACTAAAAAATATATATAAATTGAGTGAAATTTTATGTAAGAATGAAATATTATTCTAACGAGGACAATCATTATTCACTAAATATTATATTATATCATTATAATAACAAAACTCAGAATTCTGTTTCCTGTGATTTTTTTCTTTGATTAAACTTAAGAGAATATATACCCATTGGTAGCAAAGCTTTCAACGAGGTGTTTAGAAGGGTCGGTAATGATAACCTAATACAACAAGAAACCTCAACCATAGCCTCACTTTTTCATCAAGTCAATGCGAATGTTTCATTTCTCAAGGAAGTTTTAAAGCGTGCTTCTCAAGTCATTTTAGCATGTTTGGTTTGGTTTAAGTCAAGAAAAATTATTTCTTTTCCCCAAAAGACTTTCAAAATTTGATAAAAATAAGCAATTGTTTGACCAAGTTAAATTAAATAAAAAATGAAATATTTTAATAAAAGCTACAAAAATATAGAATCATACTAAGTAAATATGTTCTGCTATGTTGTTGACATTTATTAATAATTTCAACAGTTACTATTTTATCAAATAGTTTTAATTTAATTGATTAATTTAACATTTTTAGTTGAAATTTGACTTTTATTTACTTTATCAACAATGTTTGCAAAGCATACTTTGCTTATATTAAGCATTTTATAATTATCTTTTACAAATTTTGACTTAAGATTAACAATCTAATTTCATATCTCCTCCATATATAAGAATTGTGAGTCAACAAGTTGAAAGGTAAAAGAGAAGAAAACCTCATCCACGCATGCCTAGGAATTTATTGGTTGAAAATAAATGTTTTGGTTTTTGGCATAGAGATAAAAGAAAGTAATGGTGTCACACAAGATACATAATGACAACATAAACATACCAACATTATACATGGAGTGAGGATGGATTTATCATGTACATATTGTAAGGATTTCAAAATCAATGGTGAAAATTTGGCTAAAGTATATTTTGTATCGTTCGTGTTCAAATTCGTTTTGATAGTTTTAAAAGATTCAATTTCATCATTTATTTCTTAAATTTAAGTCAATTTTACTGTTTATAAAATAGTGTTTTTTTAACTTTTTTTTCTCGAAAATTTTAGATTGTTTGGTTAAGCGGATATAAAGAATTTTTAGAAGATGAAAATAAGTTCGTGTTAGTTTTGATAAAAAAAAAATCTTATATCTACCTTTTATTTTTTTTATTTACTTTAATTAAATATCTTTATCTTATGTTTTGATAAGAAATTTATAAAGAGTAATTATTTAATAGATTATTTAAAATTCTTAATGATTATTTGAATAGGGAATTTGAAAAGTAATTAAAATCATTGAAATTGATAAGAGTATTTTAATTTCTTAGAGATAATTTTTAATTTTATCTAAAAAAAGTAAAAATTTAAAATTTTTCTCAAAATCATATTCATGATTTTTTTTATATATTTTCTCTTTAAGTCAAAATTGTTTGAAATATTTTTGCCTAAATTAACCTGAGTTCAACACATTTTGATTTAATTTAAACTCATTCGACACATTCTAACCAACATCGAATCATATTAATTCTATGGCTCTTCATTTAGTTTATCCTATATTAACTCAACACAACCTATTTTGACTCGGTTCAACATATTTTAATCTAGTTTGTCTTAACCTAATATAATTTTTTACTGTGAAGTTTGATCCAATTATTTCCAATAAGTATAGTCTATTCTGACCTACTTTATATTATATGAATTTGATCTAACTTATTTAATCTTAGTTTATTTTATTCATTTACGATCTGACCTGAGTTATTTAGACCTAACTCCATTTGATATTATTCGATTTATCATAACTTAATTTAACACGATCCAACTCATTTAAACTTATCACCTAACCTGACTTGATCCACAATTCATGATCTAGTATAATTTATTTTAATCAAGCTTAAACTTACCAGTTTAATTGTAGTAATTTCACTTAACTCAATCTAATTTCTCATAATTTAGGTTCATCCAACCTTATCCATACAAATAAAAGTCATTTATTATATAAGTTAGACTTACTTCATAATATAATAATAATATTTTTTATATTTGATAATAATTAAAATATTTTATCCAAACAAAAAAAATATCAATAAATTTAAAGTATTTTATCAAAATAATATAAAAAATTCAAATTTAACATATTTAAATGTCTTAAATATTACAAAATAATTTATCCAAACTTATCTTATTATTCTTTAAGGTTCACTTACGTATTCATCTCTATGAATCATTATTGGTTTTTACTTTGTATCCAAGTAATCATGTTTATGGTAATTAATTAGACATGCTAATCACTTAATAGCGTGACGTAGTGATTAAACATCATAAATCCACTTCTTATTGGGGTGATTCATGTCGCATTATATTAATCCTCACATATATTTAAAAAAAAAACGCATTAAATTAATAACAATCACAGTACTACAAATAAAATTAATATATTAAATATAACGTGATAAGACTAAATAATTACTCAAACTAATATTCTTATTTACAAGTGCAAACTCAATCTATGTCATTTTATAACAATTACATATATAAAATTAAAAATAAATTAGTACTAAAAAGCAAATAACCTGCACCCAAACAACATGTGATTAAAGCTGAAAAAGCAACTTATATACTACCACTAATAAAGCTGGTTTTTGTTTATTTTAGTAACTCAGATCTGAAAACAGACCAAAAGTTTTTTATTTTTCTTTTTCAAAAGACCAAAAGATGGCGTGAGGACATATTGTTTCGTGCCTAAATTAAGATGGCATGATGCTAATTAACACACCTTTATGATTTTTTTTTTCTTTTAAAAATAACATGTACATAACATAGTTTTGTTTACTACGGTTATAAAAAGTATATCTTCTTACAAGATTTGGAATCTCAGGACAATTTTTGTGTTGCTTAGAGTTTTCAATATTACATTGAATCCTCTTATAACGTGATTCATGATTTTAAACATTGATGAACCAAAATTTTTAGTTGAATAAAAAATTTCAGACGAAGAATTCAATATATAAAAATTAATTATCATATATAAAAAATATATTATATATTTAATATTATTATTTCTAAAAAATAAAATTTATTTTATTGATTATTTTTAAATAAGTTTATAATTTTATATTTGAATATTTTTAAAACTCAAATTATTTTTTCTATATCTTAGCGATAAAATAAAGTATCATAAAATATTAAAATAAATAATTAATTTATAACAAATTAAAAAATTATATCAATATTTTATATTTTTATATTATACTATATAGATTAATTTGTTATAATAATAATAAATAATAAAGAAAATAATTTTTTTTATTTTTTATTTTTTTTACAACACAAAAAAAATTAAAGAATAATTATTTATTATTACATAGTTGAAATTATTAAAAAAAAAACAAATTTAAAACTAATGAGAAAATTTTATCATTTTTATGTTATAGGGTGAAATCATAAAAAAAATGAAAAAAAAATCATGAAAATGAAAGATAGAAATGTGAAAAAGGATAAAATAAATATCTAATAAAAAAATTGTAATAAAAAAAATAAAAAGGTGAAAAAAAAACAAAGACTGAGAAAAAAATATAAGTGAAGGATTATGTAAAAAAATAAATATAATATTTATTATAAATATCTGTGACGTATGCTTTTTATCGTGCAAGAAAACTTCATAACGAAGTTTTCCTCGTGCACAGTAAAAATTTTTCTTTTATATGTTCGAAGGGGGGAGGAATGGTTACAACGAGAAATTTTTCCCCTCATATCATGTGTTCCTCATTCTTCTTCTTCTTTTGTCTAAATTTCAAGTAACGATATTCTACTCCTGCAGGATATGGTGAAACATGAGAGAGTTTGAATTAAGTGGGAAAGCTTTGGTAGAAATACCACACCAGGTAAGGGAAAATTTAATTCATTCAATATATGAAATTAAATTTTTGGGTACTCTGTGAATACCGTATGAATAAGGAATATGAGTAGAAACATGAATTATTTAAATGTCTGATTTTGGATGCACTGTTCATGGTTTGAAAGTTTTTGAAATTCTTAAAATTAAGGATGAATTATATGGTAAAATTGTTGTTTTCAACTTAAATTAGATATAATTCATGTTTAATTTGAATTTGGGACTAATTTGGTTGTCTAAAACTGAGTAATTTGAAATCTGCCAAAATCTGCAAAATTTGTTACTGTTACTGGCGCGAGGAATAAGAAAGGGAAATAGAAGGAATTTTCGAAAATGTTCAAGGGTAAAATAGTCATTTTCGAGACATGGAAGGAATTTTTGAAAATGTTCAAGGGTAAAATAATCATTTTACATCCTAGGGACATAAATGAAATTTTTGAAAATGTTTAAGGGTAAAATAGTCATTTTACATCCTAGGGACATAAATGGAATTTTTGAAAATGTCCAAGGGCAAAATAGTCATTTTCAGGACATGGAAGGAATTTTCGAAAAAGTCCAAGGGTAAAATAGTCATTTAGGGACATACATGGAATTTTCAGAAAAGATTAAGGGCAAAATAGTAATTTAATGATTTCGAAAAAGATTTCGGAAAAGATTTTGGAAATGATTTCGGAAGTGATTTCGAAAAAGAAGAAGAAGAAAAAAAAAAATATATATATATATATATATATATATTTATATTTAAAATATAGAATGAATGTAACAGTTTTAAAGATTCTGTAGTGTGTTGTAATGTGTGTGAGTCAAACCGAGTCTAAGGGTTGATGCCCATAATCAGTCATGAGATGTTATGTATTGGCTAGACTGAGCCGAAGGGTTGGTGCCCAGAATCAGTCAAGTACTATTATTTATTGACTTGAATGAGCCATGAGGACAGGTGGTCCAGAATCCGGCAAATGTGAATGATTTTTGTTGTGTTTAAATGGTACCCGGGGTGGTACAAAGGAATTTAGTGTAATAACTATGTCGGAGGATTCTGAATGAGGTCCCATACTTCATTGATTGGTCGGGTCAGGTAGACTACGGGATCAGGTGGTGAGAAGTCGATGGGGGGATGACTGGTGGCGCGTTCGGAGGGGTACTCCAGTATGAGTGATGAAGGGCGCCAGTAATCCTACTCTGTGTGGAGGGTGGTCAGAATGGTACTGCGGGTGTCGATCACAATGTGCCCACAGATGATAGCCTCTGAGTTCGGGCATAGTTAGGGTATACTTTCGGAAGGTGTCTTAGTATGTTGATAATTTCATAATTAATTATAATATATAATTATTACTTCTATATCTATTTTATTATATCGAATGATTTAATACTTACCCCTATTTTTCCATGTGGATGAGACTGTGATGATCACTTTTATGTGGGAGCAGATCAGGAGTTAAGAGATGGAGATGTGACTACTGGACAGCAGGGATAGTTTAGTAGGATAGCTTCGAGGGAGCTATAATATATAAATAAATTATGTTACTATATTTTGAGGTTTCGTTAGTGAACCGGAATTTCAATCTATGTTACAATTATAGTAAAATAATGTAAGATATATGTCGTTAATTACTTGGTTACTATTCTGCGAAGGCATCATTATAGTAGCGATTTCTAGGGTCGTTACAATAGTGGTATCAGAGCGGTAGTATCCATGTAAATATGTGGGGATGGGTAATGAACCTTTGATAAGTTCGTTGTGATTATACTCTGATATGTGAGAGTGTGTGTGTGTGTGTGTGTGAATGTTTGCTCTGTATTGATGGTTGCATTTGATATAGGATGGCACCGCGACCTCCTACTCCACCGAGTGTAGATGCCCTAGCCAGGATAATGAAAATGTTGGCAGCTGTCATGCAGCAACAGACTACTTACCCGCAATGGAGGCCAACTATGGCATCATCCTCTGCTGGATTCCACCAATCAGAGTAGATGGGGCTGACTGAGTTCATGAGACATAATCTGCCTCGTTTTGGAGGAGATTTGGGTCCACATGCAGCAGAGAAGTGGTTGCGTGAAGTGGAGAAGATTTTTGAGGCTACCTTATGTCCGGAAGACAGGAAATTGACATTCGGGAAATACTTACTAGTGGATGAGGCTGAGTTCTGGTGGTCAGGGACTCAAAGGATGATGATTGCACGTGGGGAGGTGTGTAATTGGGAAACCTTCCGTGAGAGATTTCTGGAGAAATACTTCCCTGACAGTGTTAGATTTCAGAAGGAGACTGAGTTCCTGAGTCTAAAACAGGATAATATGACGGTGCATGATTACGCCGTACGATTTGAGCACTTATCTCATTTCTACACAGGTACATCTTCAGAACAGTGGCTTTGCAGGAAGTTTGAGGAAGGCTTGAGGGCTGAGATCAAGCTCATGGTGGTTCTTTTCTCTATCAGGAGATTCCCAGAGCTGAAGGAGAAAGCGAAGACAATAGAGAGACTCCAGGAGAGAGGAGTCAGAGTGATGAGGACCCACCCAAGTGGGGTCCCGAGTGGGGGTAGTAGATCAGAGAGGAGGATGCCTTATTCACGCCCCCAGTCTTCCAAGAGTGGCAGTGTTATCCCAGCACCTCGATCATCGAGATCTGTATCCGGGGTGAAATGTTTTCAATGTGGAGGCCCTCATTATAGGAATCAGTGCCCACAGAATGCCTTCACTACTCCTTCCTAGACTTCTCAGGCAGGTCTTTGCTACACTTGCCAGAAGCCAGGACATATGGCTAGAGACTGTCCACAGAAGCTCAGTGCTATAGTCTCAGTTGGGGCATCATTAGCACCTAGGGGGAGTGACGCGAAACCCAGAGCTGCAGGACAGGTGTTTGCCTTGTTAGGAGCAGAGACATCGAGGTCAGAGAATTTAGTGCAAGGTGTGTGTTTTATCTCTGATATACCTCTATGAGATTTGTTTGATTCAGGTGCTACCCATTCTTTTATTGCTGATAATTGTATGGATAAACTTAAGTTACTTGTGTGTGACCTACCCTATGAATTGAGGGTATCTACACCAGCAGCTGGACTAGTGGTGTCTTCCTATGTGTGTTTGAGGTGCCCAGTTGTCGTAGAAGGACGACAGTACAAGGTGAACTTAATCGATTTACCTTTGAAGGATATGGATGTGATCTTAGGGATAGATTGATTATCTACCAATCGCATTCTGATTGACTATGGACAGAAGAGGTTGGTACATCCAGAATCACGAGATGAGCTTATTACATTAGCTCGGCAGGTTCAGAAAGAGCTACGAGAGGGAGCTCAGTGTTATTTGATCCTGACTCAGATGGATGAAGTGAAGGATAATATCCTGGAAGAGGTACCGGTTGTGAGTGAATTTCTTGATGTGTTTCCAGATGAGATACCAAGGTTGCCACCTCAGAGAGAGGTCGAATTTGGGATTGATCTAATTCCTGATTTAGGCCCAATCTCTATGGCACCATACCGGATGGCTCCAGCAGAATTGGCTGAATTGAAGAAACATATAAAGGATTTGCTGGAAAAGAAGTTCATTCGGCCGAGTGTATCTCCCTGGGGTACTCCTGTGTTGCTAGTAAAGAAGAAAGATGGGAGCTCCAGATTATGTATTGATTGCCGCCAACTATACAAGGTGACTATCAAGAACAAGTACCCGTTGCCGATGATTGATGATTTGTTAGACCAATTACAGGGAGCATCAATCTTTTCTAAGATTGATTTGAGATCTGGATACCATCAGATACTGGTTAAAGAAGAGGATGTACAGAAGACGGCGTTCAGGTCGAGATATGACCATTATGAATATGTGGTCATGCCGTTTGAAGTAACAAATGCACCTGCAGTATTTATGGACTACATGAACAGGATCTTCCGTCCTTATTTAGATAAGTTTGTTGTTATTTTTATAAACGACATTCTTATTTATTCTAAAACTCGGGAAGAACACCAGGAACATCTGATGACGATGTTGGTTGTGTTAAAAGAGAAACAATTGTATGTCAAACTTTCAAAATGTGAGTTTTGGTTAGACCAGGTGCAGTTTTTGGAACATGTAATATTGACAGCAGGGATATTTGTAGATCCTACCAAGGTAGATGCAATGTTAAAATGGGAACCTCCTAAGACAGTGACAGAACTGCGTAACTTTGTGGGACTTGCAGGATACTACCGGAAATTTATAAAGGATTTCTCTAAAATAGCAGCTCCTTTGACATAGTTGACCCGTAAGGATCAACCTTTTGCTTGGACAGATAGATGTGAAGAGAGTTTCCAGGAGCTGAAAAGAAGATTGTCTAGTTCCCAAGTATTGGTGATCCCAGATGTGACTCAATCTTTTCAGGTATATTGTGATGCTTCTATTCAGGGGTTAGGTTGTGTCTTGATGCAAGATAAAAGGGCGGTGACATATGCGTCGAGACAACTTAGAATTCATGAGAGGAATTATCCCATTCATGACTTAGAACTAGCAGCAGTGGTATTTGCTCTCAAGATGTGGAGACATTACCTTTATGGAGTCAGATTTGAAGTTTTTAGTGATCACAAGAGCCTGAAGTATTTATTCAATCAGAAGGAGCTAAATATGAGACAAAGAAGATGGATGGAGTTTCTGAAGGATCATGACTTTCAATTACTTTATCATCCAGGAAAGGTGAATGTGGTGGCTGACGCCTTGAGTAGGAAGGCAGTTCAGATGTTAGCAATGATGATGGATGAATTGACATTACTTGAGAAGTTCAGGGATTTGCATCTAGATGTAGAGTTTCGTGATACTAACATTAGTTGTGGTAGCATTACTATTAATAATGATTTTCTTGAGATGATCAGAGATAGACAACAAGGTGATATGACATTGAAAGGTGTTATGGATCATTTAGGATCTGAGTAGACCATTGACTACAAGATGGGTGAGGATAATATTCTGAGATTTAGAGGAAGGATTTGTATTCCTGTTGACCAGGAATTGAAGAGAGCAATACTAGATGAAGGTCATCGGAGTCGTCTGAGTCTACACCCTGGTATGACTAAGATGTATCAGGATCTGAAGAAAGTTTATTGGTGGTCTGATATGAGGAGAGATATTGCAGAGTATGTGGCTGCTTGTTTGACTTGTCAGAAAGCAAAGGTGGAACATTAGAGGCCGGGAGGAATGCTACAACAAATGGAGATACCTGAGTGGAAGTGAGATAGCATTACCATGGATTTTGTTACCCATTTACCACGAACAATCTGGGGGCACGATTCAATCTAGGTGATAGTGGACAGATTGACGAAGAGTGCACATTTTCTCCCTATAAATCTGAGGATATCTATGGCTAAGCTGACACAACTATATATTCGCGAGATTGTTCGATTACATGGGGTACCATCTAGCATTATCTCAGATAGGGATCCTCGATTTACTTCACGATTCTGGCAGACTTTACAAGGGGCATTAGGTACCCGACTTAGGTTGAGTTCAGCCTATCACCCCCAGACAGATGAACAGTCAGAGAGGACCATCCAGTCACTAGAAGACTTGTTGAGGTCTTGTGTGTTGGATAATCTAGGAAGTTGGGATGATATCCTTCCATTAATAGAGTTCACGTATAATAACATTTATCATGCAGTATTGGAATGACACCATATGAGGCTCTTTATGGGAGGAGGTGTCAAACACCTTTATGTTGGTATCAGGATGAGGAGAAAGTGTTGATCGACCTGAGCTACTCCAGTAGACTACAGAGAAGGTCCGAGAGGTACAAGAGAAGCTGAGAGCCGCTATGAGTAAACAAAGATCATATGCAGACCAGAGGAGGAGGCCCTTGTAATTCGAGGGGGGAGACCATGTATTTTTGAGAATCAGACCTACTACTGGGTAAGAAGGGCAATTAAATCTAAGAAGTTGACTCCCAAGTTTATTGGCCCATATCAGATTTTGAAGAAGGTAGGTCCAGTGGCATATCAGTTAGCGTTGCCACCTCATTTGGCAAATCTGCACAATGTATTTCATGTATCTCAATTGAAGAAATATGTATATGATCCCAGTCATGTCTTGGAGTCAGACGATGTACAAATTAGAGACGATCTCTCTGCTGATGTGAGACCAGTGAGGATAGAGGATTCTCAGCTGAAGCAACTTAGAGGTAGAACCATCTTAATGGTGACGGTAGTATGAGATCAGAAACCATGAGACTTCACTTGGGAGATGGAGGATCAGATACGAGAGTCCTATCCATATCTATTTCCAAGTAAGTTCATTTCGAGGACGAAAATTTTTATTGAGGGGAGATTGTGACGTATGCTTGTTACTGTACAAGAAAACTTCATAACGAAGTTTTCCTCGTGCACAGTAAAATTTTTTCTTTTATATGTTCGAAGGGGGGAGGAATGGTTACAACGAGAAATTCTTCCTCTCATATCACGTGTTCCTCATTCTTCTTCTTCTTTTGTCTAAATTTCAAGCAACGATACTCTACTCCTGCAAGATCTGGTGAAACATGAGAGAGTTTGAATTAAGTGGGAAATCTTCGGTAGAAATACCACATCAGGTAAGGGGAAGTTTAATTCATTCAATATATGAAATTGAATTTTCGGGTACTCTGTGAATACCGTATGAATAAGGAATAGGAGTAGAGATATAAATTATTTGAATGTCTAATTTTGAAGAATTTCTGATTTTGGATGCACTGTTCATGGTTTGAAAGTTTTTGAAATTCTTAAAATTAAGGATGAATTATATGGTAAAATTGTTGTTTTCAACTTAAATTAGATATAATTCATGTTTAATTTGAATTTGAGACTAGTTTGGTTGTCTAAAACTGAGTAATTTGAAATCTTTCAAAATTTGCAAAATTTGTTAATGTTAGTGGCGCGAGGAAGAAGAAAGGGACATGGAAGGAATTTTCAAAAATGTCCAAGGGTAAAATAGTCATTTTTCGGGACATGAAAGGAATTTTTGAAAATGTTCAAGGGTAAAATAGTTATTTTACATCCTAGGG